CTTGTAAGAACTTTGTTTAGTTTATTGTATTTTTTGTACTCTGATAGCCTTAGGATCCCTGGTCATGGACACGGACTCCACTGTGCTAGGTGCTATAGAAACAGAGAACAAGAACAACAACAAAGTCCCTGCCCCAAACAGCTTCTAATAATTTCTGGAAGGGAGACTCATCCAAGACCTCAAAATGAAATAACAAATCACTCTGCATGTCCAAAGATGCATCAGTAATTTACCCTCTTAGCCTGTGACAGAAAAGGAATCCAAGGCACCAAGGCAAGTCACATTCCCCCACCAAAAAAAACGCAGGTCGGTAGTACAGTGATGGAAAGAAAACAGATCACCTAGCCCCATCCTTTGATTTAAGTCCAAACTTTCTGTCAATATATTTCTAGAAGCACTACCTACATCTGAAATTATAGAAAGTAGGAAGTATGGGATAATTCCCAAGTCAGTTTAAAAGGTTTAGCTGAATTTGGATAAGCTTTGTTTTTAAGGTATGTAGTCTAGGTATAGCTATGGATACCTATCTAGACAGATAGATATAAAGTTAATCATTTTTCTCATTTTGATTTTTTTGTTGAAAATTCAGAGTTCAATAAAAAATGACAACAATTTAAATGACAAGTTCCATTGATTTTTTTTTTCAATTGTTTGGCCAACAATGGAGTTGATTGAAATCTCTTCAGTTTTGAAACACTGCAACAGCAAACATCTTTAGAAAAACAAGATTTCTAAGTTTAAACAGTTTAAAACTTAAAAATTCAGAAGATTTCTTTAGTAGTTGTTTCATCACCTCCATATAAAACTGTTTTAAAAAAAAACAAGCACATCCTTGGTGATACAAGTATCCTAGATCAGTGGCGCCGCTCAACCTTTCTAGCATGTGAACTGAATGTAAGGTACAGCTGGTCTGTGGGTTGCATCTGGTGCATAGGGACAGGTCCGTGGGCCAGGTCCAGCATACAGACTGACCCCACCGGGTCAGGCCCTGCATACCAGGTCCAGCCTCATGTGCTAGATTTATCTACAGAGCAGTCCCATTCTTTGGCCCAATTGAGCACGCACGGTAAGGTCATCCAACCTGTGGGGCTCACCATGGGTCTGAAAATTTAGCAGCAGAGGAGGGGTGTTAGCTTTAATTGCCATGGGACTCCAAGAGGTGTGGCAATTAACACTGCCACCACTCCTCCTGTACCAAATTTCTGGGCCTGTGGGGAACCCCATGGGTCAGATGACTCAGTTCCATAAGCCAGATCCAGCCTGCAGGCTGTACTTTGAGCACCACTGTTTTAGATCATTATAAGTAAGGGGACAATGGATTTTTCACATTTTATTTTGTGCATGGATATCAGCTTGGACAGCAAGCATGCTACAATGTCCACACTACAGGTGAGCAACTGAGGCACAGAGGGATGATGGATCAGACCCTACTCCAACTGTTGGGCACCTAAGAGCACTTAGACTGTCTAAAGCACACCTATTTCATCTTGCTTAAGTCTCTGAAAGTCCACCTAGTTTTGTACCATGCTGCCATCTTGGTCTTAAAACTAAGTCACAGAAAAGCAGGAAGGAAGCAGATGGCTCACATACAGAGGTACACCGATACATCAGTCCAATATAAAGAAAACTGGCTGTATAGGAAATCAGCCCAAAACAGCTGATAATTTGTCTGATAAATGCTCATGTGTGCGTGCAGTGGCAGCACAGTATGTAGGCAGCATGGAGAACAGCCCGGCAGTGTGGAGAGCTGCGTGCAGCTGGTAAGTCCATTGTCGTGGAAGGGGACCGGGGAGGGAAGGGGTTGACAGACGGACTGGGGCAGGGGCTGGCACTGCCCACCCAGGGCAGGGCGGGGTGTGAGATGGAGCCGTGGCTTGTTGGGGTGGAGGACAGCTCCCGCTGCTGTGCACACCCCTGGGAGGACACGGTATGGGGAGGGGGGCATGTGCCCCTGGATCTGTGTGGGGTGGGG